TATTTGCCTACTATTTTCCTTGGTAGAATTTATTTTGTTACTTTCGCTTACCTATATAGGGTTGTTTGTCATTCTATTGTTATAATAATTTTATTAAAATTTTAAATTACAATGGATGTTATCTTTCTCATTTCTTTGTCTCAATTTAATTATTTTGTCTGGTATTTCTGAATTTTATTTAGCATCTATTACAAATTTACTTTTTACTTTTAATTTTTTTTTCCAGTTAGCATGTTGTTAGCCTTATTTAATCATTTTCTTCATTTTGATTTTGTCACTATTGTCAGTCTTTTTGCTTTCTCGATGCTATTATAGCTTAGTTCATGATTCGCATGAGCATGTTCAATTTTCGTTTTCTTTTTCTTAGCAATATCCATTTCTTATATCTTTTTTGTGGTGTTCTTCTATTATTTATTTTTTATGATTTGGTTAGTAGGTTCTTAATTATAATTGTTTTATTTGAGTTCTATTACCATAACCGGTCTCTTGGTTTTTTTTCCATAATAACTTTTGGGTAGTTGAAGAGGGATAATCCCCAAAAAGCAACTTATATTGATCAAATGCTTCGACTATGACTAACAGAAACAAAATCCTCAGACAGTGTTTTAAAACTCGGACAGGTGATCGACTCGGTCAAGGTACTGAGTCACTAGGTCAGTGGTTCAACCGAGTTCAATCGAATTTTAAAATAATATATAACAATATTAAGTTATGAATATTATGTCTAACAAATAAAAGTGATACAATGATAATAGAGTCTAAGCCATTTTTTTCTCTTTTTATCAGCAAAAAACTTTACCATGTCAAACTAACATCTATTCAATAAGAATATGTTGTCAACTAAGAATTATATTCTCTTAGTTTAACCAAATAATTAACTCACCACAATCACCAACTGATACATCTTCCTTTGTAATCAACTCTGCTGCAACCTGGTGAGTACCAGCAAGGTCAACCATTGAACGTGTCAAGTTTCTTGCAAGACTTTTAATATGATTTAGACGCAACCTTCCTGGTGAATTGCTTGGTTTACTATAAGGTAGAGTTTCCTAGGGAACTGATGATCCTATAGGTTGCATTTTGTTCCGGATGGCTCAACCCCATACGGCCCAAAGACTTGAGCCTAAGCCTTCTTCCCCTTTCCACGTCAATCCTACCAACACCCCATGCATCCTGCCCCCAAGGCAGCTGCACCCCCTAGGTGAGACACCAAAATGTCTCACCTTAGGATTCCAATCCCCTGGGAGACCGCCCCAGACACTATAAATAGAACTCATCATCGTCATACACTGACACCGCCGTAGCAGGAGTTGCATCACTACTATCATAGCAGTATCAGCCACCCTCAGCTGATCCCAAGGAGGATTGACCCTCTCTCACCAACCCACGCCAGGCAGGCACCTGATTTCCCTATAAATACCTCTCCCCACACACTGGGAGAGGCATCTTATGTATCGTTATTCTGTCCACAATCCTTGAGTCACATACACACATACCCCCCCCATTATCATCTGTTAGCATTCATACTTGGGATAGTGCCTCCTAGCTTAGTCTTTACCTGTGCTAGAGGTATAACCCATACAGTGACTCCATCCCTAAAGGGAACATAGTGGGCTTATAGATCCCAACGGTACACATTTCAACATTAAGATAATATAATAATAATGTAACACAACCTCCATTGATTGTGAACATAACAAGAACTCACCATCAACAACCTCAAGTCCCAAATTTAATGTTTCTTGTCATTGGTTAAGGTCAGGAAGAGGGAAACCAATACCATGAGAGAGTCTAGCGAGGTAGAAGAAGTGACCCCTTGAAACTCATTACTTGTACTTGCTTCAGCTTGAGGTTAAGGAATATGAATGAATGGAACATGAAAATTTGCAGCTCTTTGTCTTCAAAGTTAGTAATTTCAACGCCGTCTTGCAAGCTATCTTTCTCTTTGTTCTTGAGAGTCATTGATTGTCTCCTCTTCCTGTCACATATACGCATTCTCTCCCTTTCATGCTCCCTTTGCATTCTTCTTGTCTCTACTCTCTCTAGAAACTCTTTCATGCTTACTCACCCTCACAACCTCTCTTCAAAGCACCCAAGTAAAGTATATCAATTTTTACATGAAACTTGAATACTTTGGATGGCATTCATTTTAAATTAAACAAATCACCCAAGTAAATATATCAATTTTTACAAACAAAATCAAAATAGGCTTTCTAATTATTCACTGATTTTCACTCAGCTCGCGCAACTTCACAAGGACCTCATCCATGACTTCCCTCAGATAACAATATTTGACACTCTCAATGGTGAAGGCCTCACATTCGAGATCTACTATCAGTTGATACCTGCAATGTTGTTCTTCAAGAGCTTGACGAAAGTAAAGAACTCTATGAAGTTCCACAACTATGGTTTAAAGTTCAAGAGGCACGCTAAGAAAGGGAAGCTTCCGAATTATGTAGCGGTGGAGCAACATTACTTAGATATTATGGTTTCTCTGACGAACGACGACCACCTTCATATGATGTGGTGGTGGGGAAGAGGTTTGCGAAGGAGGTTTATGAAATTTTAAGGAAGAGTCCGCAGTGGAAGGAGATGGCAATTTTGATTACTTATGATTAGCATGGTGGTTTCTATGACCATGGGAAGCTTTATGTTCCACATCGACTAGGAAATGAAAATGAAATCAGTTTATAAACCCTTCGGATGAATATCTGTCATCATGTGTTGATTGTCTTGAATTAGATGTTATGTAAATATTTATTGGTTTCTAGGTTGACCCGAACGTTCCAAGTTATGTATCATTATTTAAAGAAGACCTAAGAAGATGGGGTACATGTAGATTCAACCTATAAATTAGAAACATTAATTTTGTAACATATATTATAGGTATAGATACTTATATGGTTATGGTAGAAATGTTAGAATTTTTCCTTTATGGGCAATATTAATTAATTAGTTTTCTTTTTTTAAAATTAATCGGGTAAATGAATAGTCTAATTGTATTATTTTGATAAGCCCGTTGTGATCATGTTGAGTTGGACTTTTGGCTTTTGTTGGTATTGGGCCTAGTTGGGCAGCAATGTAGGCTTTAGTGTGACCCTGATTTTCCATGATGGGTGGACCCAGTGGACACAAACTCTTTTTAGAGTATTTGGCTAGGTCTTCTCTCTACCCTAATTATATTGGGATTAAGTCTCATGAGCCGTCATGCTCCCATTGCAGAAGGCTGCCATTTTGGAATAGGTCACAGAGAGGAAGATTCTAGCCGCGAGATCAAGATTCTAGCCGCGAGATTAAGATTCTTCGCTCAGTAGATAAGATGGCATAATCAGATACACAAATTCCTCTCAAAACAAAATTGATAAGTGATGTTTTATTTATCATACATGTATTGATCTTTATGTGGAATTATTATATGAAAATTTCTTACATTTGGTATCAGAGCCAGGTTTGTATGATTGTAAGACCCACAATTCATTTTGATTTTAAGACAAAATTCTGAATTAATTGTCTCTGTTCCATCTTAATCGGTCATGAATACCTTTTGTACTATAAATCTTTTGCCTCGATTGCCATGAATTGTTTCAAGTGCTGCATTGTTTATGGGAAATACTTTTCTTATGTTGTAGGAAAAAATTTATCTCATGTGGTAGAAATAAAATTATAAGTGGGACCCACAGGTAACCCATTGTTTATGAAATTTGTTATAAGAGGAGACCCAACCCTTTTGTGTGTGTAGAAAAATTGTTTATCTCATATAAAAGAAGATAAACATAACCCAGTGTTTATATATATATATATATATATATATATATATATATATATATATATATATATATATAGGTGGCGTACGAAAGTCACCCGGTGGCGAGAGCAGCATTGCCTTGGTATAAATTTGTTAAAGTCTAACTTATTTTCATACTGTCTTGTTTTGTTTTAATTGATTTTTAATGGGAATGTGTTATTATATTATTTGACCTGGTATTCTGGGTTTTGGGGATTTGTGTTTTAGGTTTCTTGATGTCTTGACCAAAAAAAAAAGTATATTGGTTACGCTATGTCAATTCCACGGTTCATATATATGTTGGTCACGCACTTTTATAATAGAGTAAATACCCTTTTTCGTCCTTGACAATTTTCACGAAGCCCTTTTTGGTCCTTAATTTTACAAAAATAATGCCACGTTTGTCCTTCTGTTAGTTGGCATCCAACGACCCAACTAACGGAGCACACGTGGAACGTTAGTTTGCTGAGTCACTATTAAGTAGTCCAGCATGGAAGTAATACGACGACGTTTTGAACATGCCTTATGTCTTCTTGGAGTTTTGGACAACTGACCCTAGCATCGAAGGCCCTATTTGGTCTTTAACAAATTTATCGAGGCCCTATTCGGTCCTTAACACTAAAAAAATGGACATGAACATAGAAGTTGCAAGGCATATTGCAGCAAACCACCATTGCAAACCTTTCAAACCACCATTGCAGCAATCCAATAGCCCTATTTGAAAACTTAAATCATGATAAATCAGTTGGTAAACCACCAACCACAAGTCTTTCAAATATTAGTTGTTAGTATAAGTTAGGTGTTGGGGTTAATCATGTACGGTGTATTGGATTTGACGGTTGCTGGGGTGTCTTTGATAGTGGTTTTTTACTTTCATTTCTTTTTTTCTAAGCTTTATTGCATTCTTGCACAACTCCAAGTATGTCTCTTGAATTGTAAATCTTGAAAGGTCATGGTTTCAAATCATGCAGTTCTAATCAAACGTTGGCAAGTCAATGTTTTCCTTCTCATATTTCTCAATATCATCCTCCTTGTTTTTTTATTGTGTTCTTACCTGAAATAGTAGATGTTGTATGATTGATGGTATATTTTAAAAGATATATTACACGTAACAGAATACTTGTTAGGGAATTCAAAATAAACACTAAAAAAAGAGAGGACTCGCAGCTTAATGTCTTATAATTGTTAATTGAATCATGATAAAGAAATAAAATAACTAAAACAAGATATCTGAAAATTCACATGACTTCCTAAGTTTCTTCCTCTTCAGATACATGACATATCCAGCTATTGTGATGCCCAAGATGAGTGTCCCAACTCCCAGAATCCCTGCTAGCTTTTTCTTGTTTAAGTTATTCTTTGAACTATCTGAAATATTAAGAGAACAATAAGTCACACACAAGCAACTTCAAGTAGTTTATCAGTAGAGAGGTAAAAAAATTGGTAACAATGACCATCAAATTTCTTATCATTCTTTCATGTTTTGTTTTCTACCTTCATATATTTCTAATATGCATTCTTATGACTGTCTACAAGTTTCTATCATTATTTGCAGCTTCTGAGGGTAAAATAGAATATTACCTAAAGCTGAAATCTTTATATTTCTGGTTCCGTGACTACTAAAATAAATAAATAGAAAGGGAGCTAAGATAGGAGGTAAGTAGTACCTAATTCTGAAGCAGCCACTCTTATGTGAATCTCTTGCCCTTCAGAGTTTTCTTTCCTCATGTCCATGATGTTATTAAACCAAATCATGCAACCACGTCCACCATATCTAATATCTAAATTTGAATAGGCTATACAACTACAGTTTTTTAAGCATTGTATCTCACATTCCTGAAGAGTCATGTTCTTATCAAACCAGGAGGAAGATGTGTCTGGCAACTTCATTACTGTATACTTAAGAAATCCATCTCTATTATCACAATCCAAATTTACCTTCCGAACACACCCATCAATCCTATCTAATGAATTCCATTTTTCTGGAGATTTGGGTGTGTAACCTGTGAGGCCTTCACATTGTGGAGAGTTATTAACATTGCATTCAGAGTTTGCACCATAAAAGGCATAATTATCACACTGATCCACAAGGCCAGATAGGAAAAGTTGCCAGGTTTCTGTCTGATATGACCACAGGAAACGTTGCACAACACCTGTTGGGGTGGTCATGTATCTTGAAAGGTCATGGTTTCAAACCAAGCAATTTGAGTTACAAATCCAATGGCCCTAATATTTGAAAGACTTGTGGTTGGTGGTTTATCAACTGATTTATCATGATTTACAATTCCAAATAGGGCCATTGGATTGCTGCAATAGGGCCATTGGATTGCTGCAATGGTGGTTTACTGCAATATGCTTTGCAACTTCTGTGTTCATGTCCATTTTTTTAGTGTTAAGGACCGAATAGGTCCTCGATAAATTTGTTAGGGACCAAATAGGGCCTTCGATGCTAGGGTCAGCTATCCAAAACTCCAAGAAAACATAAGGCATGTTCAAAACGTCATCGTATTACTTCCACGCTGGACCACTAAATAGTGACTCAGCAAACTAACGTTCCACGTGTGCTCCGCTAGTTGGGCCGTTGGATGCCAACTAACAAAAGGACAAACCTGGCACTATTTTTGTAAAATTAAGGACCAAAATGAGCATTTTTTATTGTTAGGGACCTAAAGGGGCTTCGTGAAAATTGTCAGGGACAAAAAAAGCGTATTTACTCTTTATAATATATATATATATATATATATATATATATATATATATTGTAATTTCGGTCTTATCCATTAAAAAAAGGGAAATCGAACAATAGCTATATTACAGTCACACAATATTTTCGAAAAAGATTATTATGGTTATTATTGATGTTGTTGTTGATGGAAAATACTACTGTGAAAATAAGTCTTTGGTCAATAGTACAAAAAAGAGAAGGCATTCCCAATTAAGTAAAGGTATTTTTTTATTTGCCCAATTTTAATAATTGAGAGTGATATTGAATGCACTAATTTTGAAAACACATTGAGGGTTACATTGTTTAAATATTGGTGACTATATTTAATATGTAATTATTTAAGAGCTTGATTGTTAAGAAATTGTGTTCTTCACAAGTTGTGTGGGTTAGACCCTCTTTTTGAGGAGTTACAAACGGGTCAACTCGCTAAAAGAAGAATAAGACCCATTTGGGTCTGTTATACAAATCTCACTCATGTTGTGATCTGTTATACATAATCAGTATGATCCTTGGAATACATGTGAATTAGTATATTTTTTGCAATTTTTTGTTGCATTATATTTTTATGAAATTATTTTGTGTGTGTTTTCCTTAATAAAAAATTCACCAAAGTTAAACAAAATTTTATTATAATATTTTTGAAATTTTGATATATTGTTTGCAATTTTTCTGGTGCATTATATATTTTTATGGAATTATTATTTTTTGTTCTATATTTAATTTTGTAAAAATATATATATGTGCCCGAATTTTGAGAATATAAATTACTGGAAAATTATTTCAATTTTGTTTAGTGTCATGATTCTGTTTATGGTTTGAATTTGGATTCAGTGTTCTTGTTTGGTGAATTATTTTGGTTTCAACAAAATTGTTATGTAAACATGAAGTTTCAGTTTCAACGAATTTTCTGACACTATGGTGTGAGTTGTCTTTGCTTTTTGTGAAACTTTTCATTTTTTGAAAGTTTCAATTTTTTGGGAAATAATTATTAAAGTTTTGTGCATTTACTGTTGCACAAATTTGGAGATCTCAAAATTGTGTCTAATTGTGGCATTATTAGTGTTAATTTATGATTTCGCTTTAATGAGTGTATTGCTGTTTTATTATTATTGTCTTTGCACAGTTATACTGCTCACACATTATTTTCTATTTGCTAATGCTTTGTATATGTGAGCTTAAAGTACTATTATTTTTCCCTTGGTTTTCGAATTATTTCGTATTGGAATAAACTTAAATGTTGTCTTTGTGGTATTAATTAGCTGACTAATTTGGATTTTGTAATTGGCACTGTTTATACGGTACTATATGTGCAAGCCTTATTGGGGTATTGCGTTGTTGTATTAATGAATTGGTTTCATTGTTTTCACACTTACATGGGCTTAGTGTTCTGATATTTTAGATCTCATTTTCGAATTTGGCAATTTTTAGTGTGAATTGGACCCAACTTTTGGTTTCACTTATTATTTTGAAATTATTCTGATGTTGTGAATAACAATATTTCATGGCTTTATTCACCTTAGTATAAATACTTATATTTATTTTTGAACCCCACAGATGAGTTAGTATTAACATTCATTACTTATTAGTATGTGAGAATTAAGTATCATATTTTGAATTTTATATTCACTGCACATGTGTCTAGAATTATTTATGTCACTTATATAAAATAGTTTTACATGTGTAGGTCCCACAATTCATAAACTTTGAATTTTTGAGGACATTTTTCGATTGTGTATTTTTTGTGGAATACACTTTCAGAATAGTGTATTTTTAGAATCTTGATGAATTATTTTATTCAATGCTAACGTGAATTATTTTCTTGGTTATGTTTACTGTTTCAACTAGTACGAAGTTAGTTGCTATTGTTTTCAAAAAAATCAGTGGCGTTATTGGCAGGATTTATTAGTTTGTTTTGACTGATTTCCATTTCCAAAATATTTTGGATTGTTATCGTGAATTGTGGTATTCATATTTGCATATTACTATTTAGTGATTCTTAAAATCCATTACAACTTTTAGTAACAGTTTCACATTTGGGTTTTTAGTGAAACACTTGATTTTGTGAAATCAGTGGATTATTATTTTCCATTGGATTGAGCCTCTCTTTTCAACATGGATTGAAATTTTTGATTGGGTCTCTACATTTTAGAATTTTTTGGACCTTAGTATTATTCATGTACTATTTAAGTTTTGAAATTCCTAAAACTGCTACGGTTGTTGTTCCAATATTTAATTAGTTAACATGAATTCATCATTTTGGATTTTATAGGAACTATGCAATTTTTGACATTTGGATTATTTCACTTTTGTGGAATATTATTGGTATATGTTTTAATTTCTCTCATTTGGGATTGCGTAAACTAAATTTTGATTCAGATTTGATGCTGTTATTAGTTTTGTTTATTGGACTATAAATTGGGCCTTTATATTATTTGACCCTTGTGTCATTTGGAATATGTTGTTGGAAATTAAAGAAATAAAAAAAAAATGCATGAAATGGGAATTGAACCCATATGTGATGGTTAGGTTGTATTTTGACAATTGAGCTAATGAAATTTTTGGATCACATAAAGAGTGTAGCATCAATTATAATTCTTATTTGTGATGCCTTTATGTTGGAATTGTGGAGATATATAATTTATAAAATTTATGTGCCCAAAAGGGATAAATTTTAGACAATTATATATAATTTTCTCCTTCTTAAGCATTGTTAGTAATTGCTTTAACGTTAACTGTTGAATTTTTATGGCAAAATTTGTTGGATTGACAATGTAATATGATTTCTAGAAACACATGTTGTGAAGTGTTTCATGTTATTAGAAACACATGTTGTGAAATGTTTCATGTTGTTGGAAACACATGTTGCGAAGTGTTTCATGTTGTTGAAAACACATGTTGTTAAGTGTTTTATGTTGTTGGACATTATTATTGATATATTATTTTGAATTATTATATGTTAATTATCTGCCCAAAGGGGGTTGTTACATATAATAATTTGAAAAATTGTATGAAGAAATTATTAATTAGATTACATGATTTAAAAGTATTTATCTGCCCAAAGGGGATAAATTATTTTTAAATTACATGTGGTATTATGGAGAAATATGTATAATTTAAAATTGTCTGCCCAAAGGGAATAAATTTTTATAATTGTATGTAGTTCTCCTTGTTGTTCAAATCTTCATGTGATAGAAATATTATATTCCCTGCCCAAAGGGGGGTTTATGGTATATAAATTATTTTGTTGTTGCCCAAATTTAATTTTATTGCATTTTGTATGTCAATCAGTTATATTTTCCATCAACAACAACAAGCTATAGTTACGTTATTTACTATTTCAAATTATAATATTTGAAGATGTATAATTTGTAGAATATTTTTATTTACTGAGTTGTATGCTTCCGCTTGAACTGTTTAAGTGTAAAACTTTTTTAAGAATGTTATAGGTTTTTGAACTCATGATCAGTGAAGGTGTTACACCTTCTTATGGAATAGATCATGATTTTGGACATTATTTGTAAGAGTTTCTACGAATTACTATAGGTATTACCACTAAAGTGGGATTGACTTATTTGTCATGTAAATTTTTTGTAAATTTGAGGAATACTTCTGTTTATGTCATGCAATTTCCTGCCCAAAGGGGGTTATTGTGTGTTTTAATTAGAAGCTCTCCTGTAATAAAGTTATTGGGGTGCATTGGTCTAGGTGATCTGTCTTCCTAAAGGGGATAGATCTCTGAAGCTATTGTATGCACTTATTTGTATGCTCATTGTAATAACTTGCCTTAATTAAAGTTATATTTTGCCCTATATTTTATTTGGATGCATTCGTTTTGCCTTAACAAAGAGTTTTTTTAATTCATTTGAATTAATTTAAATATATTTGACAAGTGCATCTACATGAAAGTAAGTGGGAGTAGATGTATATTCTTAGTACTTTATGTAGATCACATTTTATTTTTCAGTAAAATGATAATTTACTGAATGAAATAAAAGCTTTTTATCTAAAAAGATTTTATAAGAAATACCTTGAAGTAGCCTCCTTTTATATATGAGTACTTTAAATTCTTTTGATTCTCTTAATTAGTGGTAGTTGTACTCGAGGCTTTCTTTAAATGTTTTAAATTCTTTTGATTCCCTTAATCAATGTGAGTTATATTCAGTTTGCCTTTTTGGTCATGCAAACTGATGATGATTTTCTGTTTGAATTTTAATAATTGATGATCATCGTTATTGTTATTTCTCCTGTCGATTGAGAAATATATGTATGAATAAAATCTTTAAGCATGTTGTGAGCTTAAATGATTGGATGTCACAAATTTTTTAGATCTCATGTTGTATTGTGACATGTTGGTTTATTCAAACTAAGCAATTTTATGTCGTTTGAGAATTGCGTTAATTCAATTTCATGTTGTTAAGAAATCGGATTGAAAAGGCAATTTCAT